GAAGAGCAGGGGTTACTCCAGGCGGTCAGCTGTGTCTGTTGACGGCTTTCACCTTCGGCATTACGCGCTGCTGTGTGACAAGGCCCTGTAAGTTGTCTCGTTGCTTTTCGCCATCATGGGGGCGATGGCCGTCTTGCCTGAGCAGCTGCGTTTAGTCATGCTGGCAATGCTGGCCAAGCCGTCTGGCGGCCTCCGCCCCATAGGCATCTTCACCTCGCCCTACAGACTCTGGGGGAGATGCAGGAGGAGGGAGGCGATGCTGTGGGAGGAGGCTAACCAGCATGCTATGTTCGCTGCCTACGGTTTCAAGTCGGCTTCGGATGTTGTCTGGCGGCAGACTACTAAGAGTGAAGCGGCCGTGCAGCTTGGCAAGTGCTCGGCGTCCCTCCTCTGGGACATGTATAAGTTCTACGAAACCATGGATCTTGAGGACCTTGCTACCAGATGTGATGAGTCGGATTTCCCCCAGGTTGTTTCCAGGCTCTGCATCACGGCCTATCGGGCCCCTAGGTACTTAAACATCAGCGGTTTCATCCAGGGGCCGTTCCTGGCGATTCGCGGTGTCATTGCGGGATGCAGCATTGCCACCAGTTTTGTCAGGGCCTATTACATGAAAGCCTTTTTGAATGTCAAGCTGCATCCGTCGTCCAGCCTGGATCTTTACATTGATGACCTGGGCCTGTCTGCTCAGAGTAGTTTCCATGAAGTTTATTCGGCCATCACCGTCGGGGCTGTGGGCTTGTTCAAGGCTGTGGAGGCCGATATTAAGTGCAAGGTCGCTCCCGACAAGGCGAGCCTCGTATGCAGTCAGCGGCGTCTTGGGGAAAAACTCCTGGCCTTCTTGGGTGTCTGGGCTGGCCCTGGGGGGACCTCCTCGGCTGTCAACCTGGAGACTGACGATACCGCTGGACTGCCTAGGAGGGTCAAGGGCCGTCGTAGGAAAGCCAAGCAGCGCCGCTCCACCTTCGACAAGCGTGTCAACAGGATCTGCAAACAGCGTCAGGTCCTGGGCCGTTCTGCTAAGAAGATGTTCACCTGTGGGGCTTTGGCGGGGATTAATTTTGGCTGCGAGATCCACGGTGTCAGCGACGCCGAGCTTGGTTACATTCGCCGTCAAGCGGGTAAGTGTATTAGACCGTCTTGTGGCGGGCGCAGCCTCTCTTCTGCTTTGGTCTGCGAGGACGACCCCACGTACTATGGGATGGGCGCACCTATCGTTCGTTGGGGGAAGGAGGTATGGGCGGCCCAGTATCACCAGTACTTGGGGGGTATGCCTCATAAGGAGCTCAGGAGGTGTTGGTCGTCGGTATTCGAGGGTAAGCTGCAGCCCAAGACATGGCGATCTGTCGCTGGCCCGATCTCTGCCCTCTTCTTGTCTGTCAAGCGCATCGGTTGGTCCATGCCCAACTACGCCACTCTCGCCATGCACGACGGCACATCAGTCTCTCTCACCTTTGTCAGCCCAACCCTCTTGAAGGATATCCTCAGGCGGGCGGTGGTGAGGGACCTGGAAATGCATGTGGGAAGTAGCTTGGATGTTGGGTGGGATCGGGCTTGTTTTGACATCTGCAAGAGCCAGCTGCGTTCGAAGAAATATTCTGCACTGGAGAAGGGTTCGATCAGGAACCTGTGCTGCGGTGGAGCCTGGACAGCCGACAGAGCCGCTGAGGTGGGCTACCAGCTCAGTGACGAGCAGTTGCTCTGCCCACTATGTCGTGCTCATCCAGACTCTGTGCATCACAGGCTTTACGAGTGCCCCGCGGTGTCTGAGACTCGCAGCGAGCTTATTCCTCCAGAGATCCTTGAGATTGCCCTGGGTCCGCTGTCGGATGGGGATCGCATCCTTTTCGATCGGGGGATCTTTGAGCATCCAGAATCGTTCTGGCCAAGGGCCCTTAGCTCGGGGGGTGGGGCCATCCTGCCAGCTACTGAGGAAGAGGACTTCTCGGAGGCGCTCGCTAATGGGGACCTGCAGGGCAGTATCTATGTCGACGGGAGTTGTTTTTGGCATCCCATCTCAGAACTTTCAAGGGCGGGCTGGGGGGTTTGCATGGTCTCCCCCCAAGGCTCCCTCTTGTGCGCCCTGCATGGCCCTGTGCACCACCCGATCAGCCAGACAGCACCAGCTGGGGAGCATTGTGCCCTCGCCATGGCCGCTCTCCATAGTGTTGCCAATTCTGAGGTTTTTTCTGACTGCCTTGCGGTAGTTAATCATTTCCGCCTGCCCCCTAGCGAACGTGTTTCGTACAGGAGGCGCTATGCTGGCCAGTTTCTGTATATCAATAATGCCCCGTTCGTCCAGTCAGTGGTGAAAGTTAAAGCCCACCAGGACAAGGACGAGGTAGGCATTTCGGATGATGAGAGAATCCGTAGGTTTGGCAACGATTTTGCCGACAAAGCTGCGCAGCGCGGGGCCCGCTCTCACCCCCAACCGTCGCCCGACGAAGAAGAGCGAGTGAACCGCGCTGTCAAAATTAGTAAAGTAGCGTGCCGACTAGCGGCCAAGTTGCTCCCGATGTGGCCACGATTGAACTTGGAGGACGCTCCGCTTGTCACTCCCTGCCGCACCACCCGAGGTCCCGAGGAGCCCGTGGTCCAGCATCAGTGGCAGTGGCAACACTCAGTGTGGAGGTGCGTTGTGTGCAGGTTAGGCTCTCGTTCTTGTGTCAAGCCGCCTGGTGGATCGTGCATCGGCGAAGCCAGCGCAGATCTGGATATCGCTGATTCTCTTTTGCACAGCGTCGTGATCCTGCCGTGCACGGATGGTTCTGATTTTCATTTCTGCCCCAAGTGCGGGGGATTTATGCATCAAGCTGTGTTTGTCAAGACTGCTTTGTCCAAGGAATGTCCTAACGAGTTGCGCGGCCATGGCCGCACGAATTTTAACAAAGTCATGCTAGGCCGCCACCCAAGGAAGAACTTGGGTGTAGGCCGACCAGAAGAGCTGCCAGCAGGGGCGATTTCCGCCCTTGCGCCCTCGTCCTCTTTGCCCGTCCCCAACTTTTGATTCGGATTGTTCGAAATCATTGGTCTCAGAGCGCCTTCCCTTTAAGGGTTGTGTTTTAGTTTTGTCTCGTCCCCTCCGCGGGGGTCGAGGAGCGTCCAGCCTCCTTTTGGCGTCGTGTTTCGGCCCAACAAGGTTGCCTCGCTCTGCCATCAGCGTGGAGCGTACGCAGCAGGCTGAGATGTTTTTCCCTCTGCTCCCCCCAACGCGGGCGGGGCGAGGGGGCGCCGCTGTTTCCACGGCACTGCGGGACTGGCAGCCATTTCGGCGTGAGACCCCCCGCAGTTGCCGTGACGTCAGCGGCGGGGCAGGGCTGGTGGCGTAAGTGGCATGTGGCGCCACCCAGCCCTGCCCCTCCTCTGGGGGGAGGCGCCGTCCCCCCAGAGAGTACGGCTTGGCAGTTGTTGATGTTAAAAAAAATCCTCCTCCTCCTCCTCCTCCTCCTCCTCCTCCTCCTCCTCCTCTTCCTCCTCCTCCTCCTCCTTCTCCTCCTCCTCCTCCTCCTTCTCCTCCTCCTCCTCCTCCTCCTCCTCCTCCTCCTCCTCCTCCTCCTCCTCCCCAAGAGGCCTCTAAGACGCCCAAGATGGCCTCCAAGACGGCCCTGAAGCGCCTCAAGAGGACCCCACATCGGTTCAGAGAGGCCCCCAAGACGGCTTCCGACGGCGTCAGACCCGTCAGACGGGCCAGGAACGCTTCAAGACGGCCAAGGAGAGGCCCCCAAGACGCCCCCACGGCCCCCAAGAGGCCTAAGGAGGCCCCCAAGAGGCTTCCAAGAGGCCCCCGGGAAGCCCCCAGGAGGCCCCACAAGAGTGCCCCAAGAGGCTCCCAAGAGGCCTCCTCCTCCTCCTCCTCCTCCTCCTCCTCCTCCTCTCTCTCCTCCTCCCTCTCCTGATCCTCCCCCTCAGCCTCCCCCAAGTGTTCCCCGAAGAGTTTCCGGAGCGGCTGGGGGAATACATAATCAGATAGCTTGGCCAAGCTGGGGCCCAACGTTTGGCCACATAGGCGCTTCTCAAAAAGGCTGGGGGCGGCGGTGATTCGCCGTAGGCGTCTTGGATCCGCCGCCCCCTGTGCTTGCCACAGGGGTGGACGGCGTGCCAGACATTTTGCTGCTCTTGTTATTTTTCAACCATTCCCAGTGGCCTTCGGCCTAGACCGCCTGCCCCTCGGAAGGACCAGAAGGTGTGGCCCACATGTGGCCCACATCGCCACCAAGACGGCCCAAATGGCCCAAGATGGCCACCAAGATGCCTCCAAGGCGGCTAGGATTGCCCCAAGAGAGCCCAAGACGGCCCCAATATGTCTCCAAGACGGCCCAAGATGCACCCGAGGCGTTCCAAGATGGCCCCAAGATGGCCCAGGACGGCCCGAAAGGCCCCCAAGAGGCTTTTAATGCAGTCCAAGAAGCCTCCAAGGGGACCTGCAGGAAGGCCCGAAGAGGCAAAGACAGCTGATTTCCCGTGGGCTCTTGACGGATTTTGACGTTCTCGGCATGCCGACGGCCCAATGCCGCCCAAGAGACCCCCAAGATGGCCCCAAGAGCGCCCAAGAGGCCTCCAAGACGGCCCCATGACGGCCTCCAGACGGTTCAAGAGGCCCCCAAGGCGCCTCCAAGACGGCCCACGAGAACTCCAAGGCGCCCACTCGTCATCGTGGTCGTCGTCGTCGTCGTGGTCGTCGTCGTCGTCGTCGTCGTCGTCGTCGTCGTCGTCGTCGTCGTCGTCGTCATCGTCGTCGTCATCGTGGTTGTCAAACCTCTTCCAGCTTCCTAATCAAACCCCTCTCCCTCTCCATCCCCCCTCCGCCAACCCCCCCACCCCCCCACCACCACCACCCTCCGCCCCCCCGGGGACACACGATTGCACCACCAGCGCGTCGGTTGAGGAGAAAAAGTTGTCGTTGGGCTTCACAGCGTGCAGAAGTGAAGCACAGGCAGCCAGCTCACGCAGCTGTGTAGTCCCGTGGCGCAGCCTCTTGAAACGGAGGCACCCTTACGGAG